ATATTCACTCTTGTAAAATTAATGACCTGTCATTAAAGCCAGATGGGTGGCATTACTGAATCAGTGGATCTGTGATTAATGCAATTACCCCATAGCAGAGCCTGAAATTCATAGGATCATACACCATCTCTGAAGAGACAAACAGTAACTTACTCTGCCAAGACTGCATGTGATGGCAGCATTTATATCTTTATTGTGCAGTTGACTTCTGATTAAAAATGGCATAGTTTCAACTTTGTGTCCTTGTGAGTGACTTGCAGGCTCCCTTTGAAATTCAGGATGATCTACCAATCCTTAATGAAAACAATTCCCCAACAGAGACTGTTAGCTAGTAACAACTGATAGCTAACAGCACTGAAGAGCCTATGCACTAAATAGCAATGCAAGCCACAGAGGCCTCTAAGCAAACATAAAGTGAGTGATTGCTAAGAAATTAAGCTAAGAGCCATAAGATGGTTTGGGTGTAAACTATTTTTGATCCAGTATACATGCAAACTGCATAACCAGGAAGTAGGAAGAGTTTAAAATTAAATGGTGGGGGCAAGGGATCAAATGTGGAACGATATGGCACATCAAAGAGTAGAAACAAGGTAAAAGAGCAAAATAAATACCTTGGGAAATGAAGGTCAGAAAACAATAGGAAGAAGAGAGAGCAAAAAACCTAGGAGGACACCGACAATCAAGACTAGGCATTAGAAAATTAACAAAAATACAAACCTAAAGGCTCTGTATCTGCAGAGATAGCAAAGTAAATGAACTGAAAATGCACATTGAGAAAATAAATACAATCTGTTAGCCATTACTGAGACATGGTTCAAGATTGGGAGCTGAGTATTGAGTGGTATATAATATTCAAGAAAAATAGAAAACTAGATAAATGTGGAAGGATAATACTTTTAATCACGGATGGCATTTTTGCAATATTGCCTTGGTTCAGGAGATCAGGTTATATCTGTTGTCAGATATAGTGAGGGCAATCAAAGGTGCCTTGGCCTCTGTGGAGTTATTTCAGTAGTGAATATTAGCTCTCTAGACATTGAAAATGGGAAGTTATTAGCAGATAACAAGGAAATAGCAAATTAATTTAATGAATATTTGCTTCTGTCTTCATGATAGAGTAGAAAAACATTCCATTAATAAAAACGTTCTCACTGTTTATAAGAGATATGTTCTTAGAAAAATTTGATGAACAGCTAAAACAGGGATTGATTTCTCATAGGAATTAATTTTTGGCAACGTGGTGTAACAATGATGTTAAGTACAAGACAGCTCAACTAGTACCAAAATTGTTCGCTGATAAAATAAGGACATGTATGCAAAACAACGAGTATCAGGACAATGATTAGTGGGGGTTTCTTGTAGCTGTAAATCAGGAGATAGAAGAGGGAGAGAGGAAATTAGTTCAATGATAATCATGAGGCAAACAATAATAAATAACTGATGGAATTGGAAACTGACACATCGCCAGGTCTTTCATCCCAAGGTCCTAAAGAGGTGGCTAATGAGTTAGCAAATGCTTTGGTGTTAAGATTTCAAAATTCTGGAAAGGTTCTTACAGACTGGAAAGTAACAAATATAACTCCTCTTTCAAGAAGATAGGAGGTAGACAACAGTAAACAATAATCCAATTAGCTTGGCATCTACCATGGGAAGCTGTTAGAATCAATCATTGAAGAGATTACAGCAGCTCACATGGAAAAAGAATCAAGGTAACCAGGAAGAATCAGCATGGTATCGTCAAAAGGAAACCATGCTTCACCAAATTTCTACAGTTGTTTGAAGGAGTGGCATGCGATATGGAAGAAGAGGAGCTTGTAAACATACTATATGTGGATTTCCATAAGGCATCTGATAAGGTACCACATAAAGGTTGTGGCGGAAAATAAAAATTCATAGTTTAGAGGGTAACATATTAACATGACAGATAACTGACTGGCTGGCTGGCAGAAAACAGTATGTATAAATAGGTTTATGCCTGATTGGCAGGATGTGATAAGTGGAGTCAAACAATGGTCTTTGCTGGAGTCGCTACTTCTTAAAATTTACATCAAAAACTTAGGTGAAGGGAGAGAAGGTATGGTAACTAAATTCACAGACATCAGTACATGTAGGAAGCTATTTATTGAAGAAGACATAATGAGATTGTGATGGATATAGGTTGGTTAAGTCAGTGGGCAAAAATCTGGCAGAGCATAATGTGGGAAAATGATAAGTAGTTTACTTTGGCAAAAAGAATTTTTTAAAAAATGGAGTATTACTTCAATGGAAAACAGCTGCAGAATTCCAAGTTGCAGAGGGATTTAAGTTAGTCCACGAGTCCCAAAATGTTAGTATGTAGGTGCAGCAAGTAATGAAGAAGGCTAATGAGATGATAAGCTTTATTATGAGGGGAAATGAACACAAAACTAATAATGTCATGCTTCATTTATACAGGACATTGATGAAACCATATCTCAAATACTATGTGCTGTTCTTGTCTCCTTTACTTAAGCAAGGATGTAAATACATTGAAAGCTGTTCGGGGGCGGTTTACTAGATTGATGCCTAGAATGAGTGGATTATGTTACAAGGGTAGGTTGAACAGATTGGGCATGTTCCCATGAGACTCTACAGGAGTGAGGGGTAACTTGATTGAAGTGTATACAAACCTCAATGGTGTTGAGAAGATCAAAATGGAAAGGATGTTTCCTCTTGTTAGTCAATAACTAAGGGGCACCGTTTTAAAATTCAGGGCATTCTTTTAGAACAGAGATGAGGAACATTCTTTTCTCTGTGAACATTGTGCAACTTTGGAACGCTCTGCCTTACAAGGTGGTACAGGCTGCATCATTAAATATTTTTAAGCAAAAGTAGACAGATTCTTGTTAGGCAAGGGAATCAAAGGTTATTGGGGTTAGATGGGAATGTGAAATTCAAAACACAGACAGATTGGCCATGATCTTACTGAATAGCAGAGCAGACTCTGGGGATTGACTATCTACTTCTGCTTGTATTTCATATGTTCACACATAAGAGGCATGAGATGTTAGTGTGTTGCTGTGCGCAAAATAACCTGAAAGAAGTATGGAAATCATAAATCCCCATGAGTTCCAAAGTAAAGTCTTGAAGGACCGAATTGGTGTGCAAGTTGGTCTGAGTGCAGGCATAATGGCTGGTAGTGTGGATGAAAAAGGGAGGAGGACTGTGTCCAAGAAGCATGCATATCGTAAAAGAGACTAAGTTGGATGAAGGCCCAGGGAAGCAAGTGGCAAGCTGCTGCTGTCAGGAACTTCTCTGCCTTTCATGTCAGGAATTGGTGCTGTCCAGTTTCTCAAGGAAAGAAAAGAAAATTGACAGCTACACATAAAGGTATGCCATGAGTTTGGGTAATAATGGGATACAAATGCATGGACATAAGATTGTCACCTCTTATTACTGAGATCCTGAACTCACTGTTCAAAAGTTGAAGGGAAAATTGGAAATATTTCTTCTTGAAGTCAAGATTCTGAATTTTCTTTTTTATTTTTGCTGTACTTTCCCACATTTCTCACCATTGGCCAAATTGCTCAAAGCATCAGAAAGTACTACCAAAGAAAATACGACCATGTTGTTAGCAAATTTCAGTTAAAGCTGAAACTGAAAATAGACTGCTGATAATCTCTGTATATCTTTACTCTGGTCCAAGATTCAATGTTTACCACTAATTACCCTCTGCTTCTTCTCATTCAATTAATTTTGTATCTTTGCTAAGTGAGAAAGATGGGAATTAAGTGAGGTAAATGTGGGTGGCACAAATGATAGTCTGGTGCAGTTGATTGAAAGTTGGTGAGGTGTTCTGAGGGGGTGGGTAGCCAACTCAGAGGGCATGTAGGGTTACTAGTTTTCGAGGTTTGGGGTCAGAAGAGAGCAGATGAGGGAAGATATTGCAGGCAATGGCAGGAGTGGTAGAGCACAAGTCTTCATGGGACATATGAACACAGGAACAGGAGTAGGCTATTCAACTCAATAAAATCATGGCTGATCTGTGGCCTAACTCCAAAAATCTGCCTTTGGCCCATAGCCCTTAATACATTTGCTCAACTAATATTTATCTATCTCAGATTAAAATTTAACAACTGATCTAGCAATTAACAACTGATCTAATTGATCATCACTGTCTAGGTTTGCTTCACATCATTCTGAAACCTTTCTGCTTCATAATATTTCTGACTTGCATCAGGATGCTTCTGTTTCTGCTCTTGATCTGCTGTTAAATTACTAGATTTATTGTTTGCTTTCCATATAAATATCACCCATCTTGAAATGGCAGAAAGTGGACACAGCAAAGCAACAAGCCAACACCCAATGATTTCTCCAGGAGATTTTGGGATGGTGTAGCAGCAGGTAGACCTGAATAGGGAAGTTATAACTATTCTTGCACAGCATGAAGGAATTGTACTATGATTCCATCCTTGTTTTTAATTACTGTTACTCTTCCCTTCAGTGTCCATATATGTTCTTTCTATCCAGGTTGGCCTCTCTAAAACCTATCAGTGCTTTCAGATCATTCTAGTATTTTTTTTCTTGTGTGATCTCTCCAAATGTTGCCACTGGTTGTATATATTTGTCGTCATGTTCTGTTTCTGAATTTTTCAGGATCTCAAACATAGCCCAATGAAAATACCGTGAAAGGAAAAGAAATGCAAGAGTAATGAAAATTATTCTACTTCAACAGCTATCTAATGCATCTCCTTTTTATGCATTCTTTAATGTTTTTAGAGCGAAGGAATATCGTGGTTCAATATTGGACTGTGTTCTGCCACTTGAAAACTCCTGGTAAGATGGAATATTTACCCTACATTCATTTGATGGTATATACAAAGTGGAAATGACTTTCAGGTCAATATGTAAAGGAAAACTACAACTTCCCAGTACTGATAGCACTGATGTGTAATGCACAAAATATTGCAAAATATTACAAATATTGCTACTTTGCCTGCAACTTTTTATTTTATGAACACCATTACTGAGCTCTTACACACCTTCAAACGATGAGGTGCCCGAATTAGCCACTTGCAGTCAGCATTATTAGGATATAATCCAGGGAAATTTGGAGAGGTTATATTTCCAGATGCAGCTATCAACATGCCTCCACATATGTCTAAAAAATATAATTTAAAAGGAAAATTACACAATCTACAAGACTATAATTATTTACAATTAACTGTATGAAAAGTCTTGAGAAAGGATTCTAGCTTTACATGCACAGCTCACTGAAGATGCTTGACCAAAGCAGAGAAAGTATAACTAAATCCAAACAGGCTATTATCCAGGATTAATGTAAATATTTAGTACACATTTTCATACTGTTGTTTCAATCGCATGTGTAGTAGTGAACCCAATTATAGTCCCTTCATAATTTAAATGATGCTAAAAATTTCAGAGGAGAACACATTGTGGATGGCAAGAAAGGTGATGTGTTACAGCTACAGCATGGAGTTGTTGGATGCCAGTTTATCCAGGGCAAACACATTTGTGGTGAACGAATGAAGTTTGAGCAGCTTCCAATGTATGAGCTGAAAGGTGCACTACAGACACTGTGACACATCAGGGAGGGGAACATAAACTTTTGGATTCTTTGTATCAGGAGACAGTCACACTTTATGGAATAGGGTTTTCTGATTTGGTCAGGGCTCAGGCACAAGAGACTGTGACTTGAAGTGAGGTTGGGAAGGGAAGCCAGAAGGCGAGAGTGTTGGAGCCTCAGCCTTTGCAATTGCCCAACAAATTTAAGGTTCTTTTAGCTTGTTTGGATGAGAGTGGGGTTGCTAACTGACCATGACAGCGTGGTATAGGAAGCCATCCGAGCAGAAAAAGCAAAACAGAATGTAGTGGTAGTAGGGGACAGTATAGTCAGAGGAAATGACAATGTTCTCTGCAGCAAAGAGTGTGAGTCTAGATGGCTATGTTATGTGCCTGGTGCCAGGACATCTGCTGAAGGTTTGACAGAAACTTACTATGGGAGCAAGGGGAGGATTCAGTCACCATAGTCCATGTGGGTCCCAACAACATAGGCAGAACAAAAAAATGTGGCTCTGCATTGTCCATATGAGCAGCTAGGCCCCTAGCGAAGAAGCAGAACCTCAAAAGTCATAATGTATGAATTATTTTCTGAGCCACAAGCAAATTGGTATAAGGCAAATCAGAATACAGAGACAAAGATGTGGCTTAAAATTGGTGGGAATAAGTATGTGAAGAATAATCATAGAATCTGTACAGTGTGGAAACAGGCCCTTTGGCCCAACAAGTCCACACCAACCCTCAGAGCATCTCACCCAGACCCATCCCCCTATAACCCAACTAACCTACATGTCCCTGAACACTACAGGCAATTTAGCATGGCCAATCCACCTAGCCTGCACATCTTTGAACTGTGAGAGGAAACGGGAGCACCCGGAGGAACCCATGCAGACACAGGGTAGAACGTGCAAACTCCACATAGACAGTCACCCAAGGCTAGAATTGAACCCAGGTCCCTGGCACTGTGGGGCAGCAGTGCTAACCACTGGACCACTGTGCCACCCAATAATGCTGTCAACAATTCAGGATTGTCATTGGCATTGCATCAGAACTGCATGTACTCGAAAATACATATATTGATATATGGGCCCTATTCTTTGCAGACAATAAGAAGATGTACATGTACTAAGCCTGATTCAATTCAACAAAATAGGTGACAACCATTCATTGGTTCATTAGTCAGGGCAATGTCCTGACCAATTACACTCAAACTGCCTGATATAAAGTTTAAAAAGAACCTGGCAGTTATCTGTCAATCAACATTATTGAGTGCACTCTACAAATCAAAATCCACTTGCCAACTAATCAGCACTCTCCTCTCCTAGAGTTATAGAGTTGTACAGTATGGAAACAGACCCTTCCGTCCAATTTGTCCATGCCAACCATATGTCCTAAATTAATCTAGTGCCATTTTGCCAGCATTTGGTTCATTTCCATTTAAGCCCTTCCAATTCATGTACCCATCCAAGTATAAATGTTGTTTTTCCCCTTGAATTGGTATTCTTGCAAATTATGTTGATGAGTGCAAGATGAGATCTTCATCAAAACATGTTTTTTGGTGAAGTAAGTAAATATGATCTGGTGGCCATTATGGGGACATGGCTGCATGATGACATGGTTTCATACCTGATTATTTAAGGAAGCATGACCTTTAGGAAGGTGTGAAAGTGCAGCGAAAGGTAGACATGTACCTATTAGTTAATGGCAGCATTAGTACAACATGGAGACATAACAAAAGTTCAGGAAACCAGGATGTGGAGATAGTTTGGGTAGAGATGAGAAATGATAAAGGGAAGAAGTCACCATGGAATTGATGTACAGGCCCCCTAAAAGTAATTAATGAAATGCCACTAGGTAGTAGCAACCACAGTATGATTAAAATTTTCATTCAGTGTGAGAAAGAGAGGAGTAGGTTTTTCTCTAAACTTTAAACTTAAGTAAGGACAATTATGAGGCCATGAAAGCAGACATGGCGAAAGTGAATTAGCAAATTATGTTGAGGGCAGCTCAACAGAGATACATGGCATATATTTCAGAATACACAAATTATATACATTCCAATGAGCAAGAAAAATTGAAAGAAATGGACACACAATCTGTGGTTCACAGAAAGATGGGCTGAGAAGTGAGACATGGTGTTTAATTTGGACAAATGCAAGGTATTGCATTTTGCTAAAACAAACAAAGGCTTATGCAATTAATGATAGGGCCTGGGTAGTCACAGAGTCATTGAGATATACAGCACAGAAACAGACCCTTCAGTCTAACTCATCCATGCCGACCAGATATCCTAAATTAATCTAGTCCCATTTGCCAGCCTTTGGCCCATATCCCTCTAAAGCCTTCCTATTCATATATCCATCCTTTTAAATGTTATAATTTTACCAGCCTCCACCACTTCCTCTGGCAGTTCATTCCATACACACACCACCCTCTGTGTGAAAAAGTTGCCCTTTAGGACCCTTTTAAATCTTTCCCCTCTCATCTTAAACCTACGCCTCTGGTTTTGGACACCCCTATCCTGGGAAAAAGACCCTGGTTATTCTCCCCATCCATGCCCTTCATGATTTTTATAAACCTTTATAAGGTTACCCCTCAGCCTCTGATGCTCCAGAGAAAATTGCCCCAGACTATGCAGCCTCTCTCTACAATTCAAACCCTCCAACCTTGGCAACATCCTTGTAAATCTTTTCAGAACCTTTCAAGTTTAATAACATCTTTCCTGTAGTAAGGAGGCCAGAATTGAATGCAGTATTCCATAAGTGGCCTAACTAATGTCCTGTACAGCTGCAACATGACCTCCCAACTCCTACACTCAATGTCCTGATCAATAAAGGCAAGTGTAGCAAATGCCTTCTTCACTACCCTGTCTACTTGTGACTCCACTTTCAAGCAATGATGAACCTGCACTCCAAGGTCCCTTTGTTCGGCAACACTCCCGAGGTCCTTAGCATTAAGTGTATAAGTCCTGCCCTGATTTGCCCTACCAAAATGTAGCACCTCACATTTATCTAGATTAAACTCCACCCACCACTCCTCAGCCCATCGGCCCATCTGATCAATATCCCACTGTATTCTGAAGTAACCTTCTTTATGTCCATTACACCAAGAATTTTGGTGTCATCTGCAAATTTACTAACCATACCTCCTTTATTCACATCCAAATAATTTATATAAATGACAAAAAGCAGTGGACCCAGCACCGATCCCTGTGGCACACCGCTGGTCAGAGGCCGCAAGTCCAAAGAGCAACCCTTCACAACCACTCTCTGTCTCCTACCTTCTAGCCAATTTTGTATCCAAATGGCTATTTCTCTCTGACTTCCATACAATCTAACCTTGTTAACCAGTCTACTGTGAGGAACCTTGTCAAATGCCTTTTGTTGTAGAACAAAGAAATCTAGGGGTTTGGGTATATAGTTCTTTGAAATTCTTTGAAAACATAGACAGGGTAGTTAAGAAGGTATTTAGCATGCTTGCCTTCATTGCTCACATCTTTGAGTATAGGAGTTGGGACGTTATGTTTAGGTTGTGCAAGATACTGATGAGGTCTCTTCTGGAGTACTGTGAACAATTCTGGTTGCCCTGCTATAGGAAGGCTATTATTAAATTGGAGAAGGTTCAGAAAAGATTTACCAGGATGTTGACAGGAATAGAAATTTTGACTAATAAAGATAGACTGGAGCTTTTTTCACTAGAGCATAAGAGGTTGAGGGGTGACTTTATAGAGTTTATAAAATGATGAGGGGCAGAAATAGGGTAAATAGCAAGTGTCTAAACTAGAGAGTTTAAAACTAGGAGACATATTTTTAAGGTGAGAGGGGAAAGATTTAAAAAGTACATGAGGGGCAACTTTCTTTACATAAAAAGTGGTTTATATGTGGAATGAACTGCCAGACAAAGTGGTGGATGCAGGTATAGTTACAGTATTTATAAGACATTTGAATAAATGCATGAATAGGAAAGGTTTGGAGGGATATGGGCCAAGCACAGGCAAGTGGGACCATTTTGGTTTGGAAACATGGTCCGCGTAGACTAGTTGGACAAAAGGATCTGTTTCCATGCTATATGACTTTATGACTATAACAAAAAGCATATCATTATGGAAAGACAAGTGGTAGATCAGTGGATTGGACACAATATACATAAAAAACAACTAAGATAATAAGGAGTCAAAACTTAGAGTGTAAGAGAAAGCTATCCAGAAATATGCAGTGATGATAAGAATTTCTGTTAATATTTTAAAAAAGAAAAATTGTTAACAAAGTTAGCATTAGTCTTCTAGAAAGTGAATCTGCAGAATTGTTAATGGAAAATAAAGAAGTGGGAGATGAATTCAACAGACACTTTACATCAATCTCCATTATAAAAGATAAAACATCCCAAATGCAACTAAAAATCAAGAAATGGAAGGGAAACAGAAACTCAGGAATGTTACAATCAGTAGAGAATGGTATTAAATTAATTGTTAGAGCTGCTGACAAGTCCTTAGGTCCTGATGGATCTCATCCTAAGGTATGGCAAGTTGAAATAGTTGATGAATTGTTTTTAATTTTTCAGAAGTCTCCTGACTCACAGAAT